ATACAAAAAGAGACAACGATAAGGGAAAGCCAGAAGTCAGGGATACCAGAATACAGGTAAGTCAAAATCAAAGCCAAAGTAAAAAAAACAGAATAAACTTAAAACAGGAACGCGCTCTCAGACAACCACTAGGGAAACGACAGGGCACTGAGCAGGATGAGAACTGGGCCTCTGGATCTGATAGGCTGTAATCAGCCTTTAACCCCAAAGGCAGTTACCAGGTTCCCATTTGCATAATTGCTGCTCAGCACAAACCCTCCTGTGGATTTGATTGCTGCTTGGCACAACTTTTCCTGTCAGGACAGTAATGTTGCTCAGCACAACGTTTCCTGTCAGAACAGTAAATGTCATTAATCACATTTTTATATGCGGATGAATACCTGACACTTCCAATCACAAAAATAATTTGGCGTATTTTAAATGTATCTGCTTGCTTGTTGATGTGTGTATGTTTAAATATTTTGACGAGTGTGCATGTCTCCATTACTAAAATATATTTGCAAGCGTGCATGTGTTCATTACTAAAATACATGCAAATAAAAACCTGCTTTTGGCTAGGTGTAGGATAGCAAAAATCCTAAAAACATCAGTTTTCATAATCCTTTCTATAATCCTGTGAATGTAACCTTAATATCAAGAGAGAGAGAGAGAGCTATTGGTCCACAGCACCCATACACCTGTACACCTTAACTCGTAGATAGGCAGTAGTTGTAATACCTATGACCATGCTTTATATTCAATGTGTAGTGGCACTCAGCATGTTGAGGGCTGAAGTTCCATTTACGCAATAAACATAATGCAAATTTGACCTACATGGCTTTCCTCCATGCTTTTCCAGCACTCTTAACAAGAGTGTTTACATCAAATGGTAGATGTTTTCTGTAGTCTATCTAATTTGGAAAGTGAAGTCCCAGTTGTGATAGGAGGACTCATGACTGTGACTCCCAAGTTAAGGGAGTGGCTTTAACAGATTCCAGGTGAGAATTCTGAGATCTCTGTCAATATTTAGTCTCTTATACTCTAGCCCTTCACTACAACACTGTTTTTAAATTGGTTGAGGATTATGTTATGGGGTATTAAACCTTTTTTCCTTGTGTAATCCTGTGACCTATCAAATTGAATATTTACTAAATGTGGGGCTCCTCAGGATTTCCGATAATCACAAGAGCTTTAATATGTTCTTATTACATGTTTAACCTATATTAAGGCATCTGAGAGAAATAAAAATGACTTACAATTCACAAAACTCTGGGTTGTAGAAAAAGCCCTTTTAAACAAATAATAGGCCTGTATGTCATAAATTCCACAAAAATATTATTCATACGATTAAAAAAAATTTGGTTCAGTTCAGTTTGGAAATAGTAAAAGAAGTAAAAGAATTCGGCACTTCGACATTTCGGTTTGGTACTTCCGAAATTCGGAACTTTGGCAATTCGGGACTTGGGCACTTCAGAACTTCGGCAATTCGAACATCCATAGGACTCCCTAACCCTACTCCTAACAATAACTCTACCCCTAACCCCACCCCTAACCCTTCCCTTTTTTGTCATTTATCTTTCTTTTGTCGTTCATTTTTATTTATATATTGTTTTTAAATAAATCTCAACATATATCTTTGGAAGTCATTTTGAGTGTGAGACATCCTCTTATTTATAACAAGCTTTTTTGGGTTTTTTTTGTGGATACTTCATAATGTGACCTTGGCATAATATTGACATTAGTTGTGTGCATTATATTAATTATAGATAGACATTATTGACATTATTGCTGTGCTCCACAACCTGATGTTAGTATTTTATTGATGTTAACTCTGTTCACCCATCTAATTTCCCAGACAGATTCTGAAAAAGTCTTTCATTTGTCTAACATTTCTACCAAGTATTGCCCATCACAGTTTGACAGTCTCTTTCTTTTAAACCCCTGCACTGTCTGTCTCTATCACTCATAATATGCACAAATCCATTCCATCTCAGTGGATTAAGACATATTAATAGATGGATGACTGTTTTCCGCATATGTGCAAATATTTTAAATAAACACGTATGAAACTAATATATTTTTGTCTAACACCCAGGCATATGAGAGTGGATGGATCACTACGGCAGTGTCATTTTCATTCTGATCAGATTTCAAAAACCTCTGGCATTCCTAGGTGTATTTCTCACTTATTGGATTTTTCTAAGCACCAACTGCTTGTTCCAGTGTTCCTGGTTTATAATCCCCTGACTCAATTTCCAGTATTCAGCAATTCAGAACTTCGAAAACATTCAAAACATCTGCAGGGCTCCCTAACCCTACCCCTAACCCTAACTGTATCCCTACCCCTAACCCTAACCACCACAACCACTTGGACATCTATAGTGCTCCCAGTGCCCGGACTGCCACCACAACCACTTACACATCTGTAGGGCTCTCAGTGCCAGGATTGCCACCACAACCTCTTACACATCTAGTAGGCTCCCATTGCCAGGAACTAGCTTATTGGTCAAGATTCCTGTCATCATTCACGTAATTTTCCCTCCCTTTCTTGTTTTGCCACTTTCCAGAAATCCCAAGCATTTCGGCACTTCCAAAATTCGTCACTTCCAATCCGAATTTCCAAATTTCCTCAAATTTGGCTAAATTTACATTCGGAAAGAAACAAATTGCACATGTCTATTAAAAATACCTGTATTTCTCAGAAATTGTAAGCTTCTACATTCCCATATTGACTGTTTTTCTATGAATGGTATCAATAATGTTGGGTATTGTAACAATCGCACCCTACTTCAAGAGTGTGCATGATGTCGTTTTGGAGGTGAAAGGGTTAAAGTTCACTATTTGTCTGCACTAGACTGGAAATAATGATAAAATCCCCCTTTACACCACCCACACTTAAGCATAATAATCTAAATATTACTATTTTAGCGCTGCCACTACCAAGACAATTTATAGATGGGGTGCCTTGGTCATCCAGGTAAATCAATAATAAAACCCACCAAATACAACTTAGCATGATACTTAATGAATTTTAAAAATACTTTTTAGTCTCTTCAGGTAACGTGATTCTTTAACCAGACAAAGGCAAAACTAAATAAAGGAATATTTATTATGAGCAAAAACAATAGTCACAGTCCATACAAAAAATAGATGATAAAATTATTTACACCAACAACAGATAAAAACAAAAGGGATCAAATAACAGAAGTCCTAAATGACTTACTCGGGTTTTCAAAGTAAAACTTCTGCCCAGGGGGTCGCTGGCAAAGAGGATGGTGACTTACTTCAAAAATAGATCTTGGCCCCAAGCAAGTACCAGGCATACTTCAGTTTCATTAGAGATATACCCTGTGGATTACCACGCCTCACCCAGAGGTGCAGTTAAAGCATATCTATAGAGACACTAAGGGACCACGCCCTTGTGTCCAGACCCCCATCAATCCAAATGGAATCCTTTGGCTCTAACTTTTCTTATGTACATGCCACAGAAATAATAATTGCATCAATGAATTTGTTATTTTTCCATAAATATGGCTTATTCCTTACTTGTGATCCAATATAACAGACATCACAAACCCTTCCCATGTGGTTAAGTTATGCAATTCATGTTTGGGCTTGTTTAGAAGATGGGGTTTGTCCCATTCTAAATATAATAAAAATGAGGCTTCATTATTATTATTCTGTGGGTAGATATTAATGTTTATTTTGGATATGATACTTGAACACAAGGCTAATGATAATTACATATCAAAATAAATCAACTCATCAATTAAAAGGTACTGGCCAAATGGCTGAAGAGACATTCAGGCTTTTTCCAGTGTCGAATCTCACACCCTGCAAAGCCTTGATTAATTAATATCCATATGGTAAAATCCTTTTCACATTCCTATGCCATTCACACTACCCCTTCTGTCATCTAACCTCTGGGGGGGCCTAGCTTCGAAAGATGTAACCCCTATTGACCTCCATACAATCAAATTAACCGCTTTTTACATTGACAATACCATATCTGCCAGGCCGGCAGGTCCTTAATGCACTACACAAACTACATTAAAGGACAACATTCCATAATGCAATAATACATTGTAGATTATGCTAGCTTTAGTGTACCTATAATATTAATTTTATTAATGACAGGAGGCGAGTATTTGCTTAAGTCTCTCTTTACTAGAACTCCACAGCAGCACAGAAAAACAACCAATCAGAAAAAAGTTAGGTACTATAAAACTTCCCTCCACATGCATCATTTCCTCTTTCAAGCTGCGACAAAAACAGAATAAAAGGCAGAAAACATAAATGGGAAGAAACAAAGTCCTAGATACGATGAATATAACAATGTCCACCATCCGAAAAGAACTGCCAAACCAGATAGCGTTGATGGACTGTAGACTGAAACGAGAGAAAAACAGAATCGTACAGGTTGATTATCCAAAGAAATGTACTCTGAATAAACATGTAGGTACCCAATGTAGCAACCAAAATTACTTTAATATGTAGATATCTCAACCTTACTAATGAAAAACAGACATAAGAACAGGTGACATGTAGCAGAGACAACAAGCAGAGTTGCATACGTATCTGATTAAGTTAAACTATTAAAATTAAATCCAAGGGAGGGATAAGAACGGGTGAGAAATACTCGCCTCCTGTCATTAATAAAATTAAGATTATAGGTATACTAAAGCTAGCATAATCTACAATTTTATAACATGACAGGAGGCTTCGTATTTGCTGTTTTAACAGTCAGTCAACAAATCCAACGCTGTTTGTTTCGCTGGTACCTATTCTGGGAGCTATCAAAGCAATCTGAAATGGACTTTCCAACTGCGATAAATGACAGCAGACGGGTCGATGAAGATGCCAGCTGACGAAGCATCCCAAGTACGGAAAAAACACCATCCGCTGATAGATCCATTGTATGTGGGTTGTGACCTGTTTCCTAACAGCCAGTCCATGAGCTGCCAAGCTGACCTATGAGCCATTTTCCTGTAGTTGTAAAATGTTGATGGTCATTTGCGGACTTAGAGCCGCGAGAAGACACTGCCACCATGTCTCAACTCTTGATGTGTAAGGTGGCTCCTCTGATCGTGCCAGGGTCACCCGGCGATGTGGCCTTGCAGGTAGATCCCCATTCTCAAGGAATGAGCCTAAGTCCACCACCAATTCCATAATAGAACCGAATAGGATCTTTCGGTCAACTAGCCGTATCCTAAGTGATTCCAATATTCCAAATGGACTGTGTAATCCTCGGCTGCGGCGGAGAAAGGACTCCAAAAGGACGTCCAATCAGGGTCCAAACTGAACTTGTGTGGTGGAACAGTGGTCGACTATTCTGGGAATAGTGAGTCCCGGAAAAATTCAAAGGGATGGGAAACGTAAAACGGAGTTGAGATTTCCATCCAGATATGTCATCGTCTAAGAGTGATAAGATGTACGGATCCAATGGTGATAGGGACCTCTATGACAACAAAGATTCCTCACGTGCTGTAGTGAGAGAGTGAAATAGTCCGATTACCTGTTGTACGAACCTGTTCCATGCCCGACCTGTCAAAATTCGAGTAGGGGTTCCTGGTCTACACGCCACCTGCAAGATAGGGTATAATATAGTGAGACCCCTAGGTCCCTGTATCCCTGACTGTCCGGGCACGTATCTCCCAGAGTAGACCCTAGGTCAAGGGACCCAGGAATGTGAGTTCGATAACCGAAGTCAAGGTCTCCCTATAGATCGATACCTCCCTTCTTAGATTGGAGTCCCATGAACACATAGCATTCTCCAATATGCCGGTGTTAAGACACCCCTGGTGTCTTTAAGGGAAACTGTCGTTTAGTTCACCTTCCCCTTTCGCAATTCCGTAAACCGTTCGCATTAATTATAATCCACGAACCATAACCAGGGGAAGCGGTAATCTCCCGAACGGGATCCGTGAAAGGCTCCAAACTCCCAAACGGAAATCCACGAACTGCTTCTAGCCGCCGAACAACGATATCCACCAAGCTGCTTTCGGTTCCATCCAGCAGTCTCTAAACGCAAAGAAGAAATCCCCCCCAATAATGAGACAGAAGCTCCACATTGAGGGTCAAACAGGATCTGGCTTTACTGTGGGCTACCTGCCCGTATTTATGCAGGTCTCCCACTTGGTGGACGCTCCCCTAGGGGACCAAATGGGAGACTGGAATTACAGATGGACATAAACACATTCCAGACATACAGTCACAGCTTTTACCCACAATGCACTATGGTTTCCTCCCCTCTGCCCTGGAGATAATTGAGAAGTAATTCAATTATCTCCAGGACAAAGACAATCGCCATTTTAAATATAAAACCAGAAAATACATAAAAATATATAACTTTACAATAACCGAACATTTCCCATTCATATCACATATCCCCAGATAGCCTGGATCTGAGTGCATATTATTAGCGAATAGCGCTCAGATCCCACACACATAGTTCAATCGCCATGGAGTCAAAGTTCTTACAGTCTTTCGGTATGCGATTGACTCCATGGGAAGGCTATCTGGGTTAAGTCCTTTCGTGTGTTTCAAAACTCCCGAACGGCCGGTGTTCGTATGCTTTCGTAGAGGCAGCCAGGCGTTCCGTTGTTTCAGCGGTGTTCGGCAGAAAAAGTTTTAGTTCCATGAAAATAGAGCCGAACACCGCTGGGCTTTCGAGTGTTTTAAAATGGCCGCTGCCTCGTGGTCGACATACGAACGACGACCACCCTGAATTCGGTTTAATTGAGAAGTGTCTGCGGTTAACCACAGCGTTCTAATTGGGATCAATAGGTTAACCAGCAGCACACTTCTCTCCTGGGTGGCCATCCGTTCGGTAGTTTTGTTCGGGAAAAACGGTCATTCGTATGGCTGGGCTATAGAAAACAGCCATTTACATGAACAGGGCATAAACAGACGAATCCACCGCAATAACCAGACAGATGGTTCTGTCACAGCCGGCAAGCGTAAAGTCGGTTCGCTCACAACAGGTGACTCCAGAGAGCAGATATAACGAAAAATAAGGGTCTAGCTTCAACCGTCTGAATCATGTGTTGTCCTGTTTGAGAATGTCGACAGCCCCATCTGAATCTGCTACACATCCTGAGCCGTACTCCAGCATTAGGTTGCGACCCGAGTTGACGTCCGTGTAGGAGTCGGGGCACAACTGGTTCCTCCATAGAGAGTCTTGTAGGTCTCCTTGAGGGTAGTTGAAAAGGTGGGTTAGCGCAAACCCAAACAAAGACGGTTCCCGTGAGGGATATAGAGTATAGATGGAGGGCCCTCCATCTCCGAACCCGGTTCTCCAGATGCTCAGAGGAATACGGGAAGTCCTGTCATCTTATTCCAAGATTGTAATGACCAGGGCACTCAAGTCAACCGGGGTTTCCGGTCTTTCCATGCGATCCATGCGTATGGCGTACCTGCAGACTGGGTTGGTTCCCTAGTCTTATTACCCGAGCAAGGCAGTGCCCGTTTGCTCCATGAAGTCTCATGTCATCTCGATATGGGAAAAACTGTCTGTACAGTTTGTTCGCAATGGTCCGGATATCTAAGACAGAATGTAATAGTCTGTTTTATACAGCGCAGATTATACCAAAACCTGCACTCTTGTAATACCTGAGGCTCATCTGTTAGCCGTACCGTCTCCAAAACTGAGTTTAAATAAGCGGGAGTCTCCCCCCCGTTATACCTCTGATCCAGTAGATCCATTACAGGAGATGAAATAGAGGGATCCTGTCTAAATATGTATATCCTGCATGATCAGGCAGCCCTCAATAACGAAAATCTGTAGCACGGTCGTTAGATCTAATTGAATGCAGGAGGGACGCCCCTCTTTGCAGTCATCATTGTTCTGTACAGGTATAAGCCTGTGAGATGAAAAAAGGACGGCACCATATAGCGTTGAGTGTATGAGAGAGCCGCGCTCTCTAATAATGTTCCGTGTCAGTGTCCGGCTGCTAGCCTGAGCGGGCCGCACCCGTTAATAACCAAACAGTAGAGTCTATATCCGTTCTCTCTACGTGAATGTGACACTCAAAACATGTCCTCTGTATCCAGCTCAGTATCGGATTGGAGGAGTCAGAGGAGACAGCCTTTTTAACGGCTAGTCTCCTGACACCCCGAGTGAAAGCGCCCGCAGCCCACGAAGGGTGCTGGAAAGTGGGGTGGGGGAGGGAGGAGTAGGGTGAACACAAAGAGGAACAAGCTGAAGGTATCCCCAGAAACCCCCATAAGACCCCCACAACAACAGGAAAATATCCCCAAAGAAACAGGGGAAGCCCAGAAGATCCAAAAGGACATGAACCCCAACTAAATTTAATAAATATATATAATAAAATATAAACGTATATAAGATATAAAAGTAATATAAAATATGATAACTAAATACAATGTAGAAAGTATATAAAAGAAATATAAGATATGATAATTAAGAATAAAGTATATAATATATAAAATAAATATATATATATATATATATATATATATATATACATAATCTGATAAAATATAATGTATATATAATATAAATAAATATATAACATGATAACTAAATATAGTAAATATAATCATAAATAAATCATAATCAATCCCAAAGCCACCAACTAGAAGCAGGAGGCAGTGGTACTCTGACCTGTACTGACTGCGGAGCAGCAAAGAAAGAGGAAATGATGCAAGGGGAGGGGAGTTTTATAGTACCTAACTTTTTTCTGATTAGTTGTTTTTCTGTGCTGCTGTGGTGTTCTAGTAAAGAGAGACTTAAGCAAATACGAAGCCTCCTGTCATGTTATAAAATTATGCACCCTTGCCGTGACAGGTATCACTTTCAAGTTGCACAATTACCTTTGGCAAGAAAAGGAACATTTATATTGGTTCCACGTTTTCCTTGACCTTAAAAAAACTTTTTTTTTTTTTTACCAGTCATTACCTAGTATCCTTCTTATAGTATATGAATTGCCAAGTTTTTACTCTTTCATCTTTAACCCATTGTCCATATTTTGCTAATACCATTTGCAATATGTAAGAACTGTGCATTATTTTATTTGGAAACATTATCCTCTTACCTCCTATCTGAGAGTGTTGTTTTCATTTAAGAATATAGAGTCTTGGAATCATCTTGCTTTGTCCTCTTCTCTACCTGATTATGAATTAATTTTTTCTCTATTGTTTTGTTTGTATTATTATTATTATTTTTTTTATTTTTTTTTGCTACACCATAGGCAATCCTTATTAGAAACACAAGGTGTCTTAGAACACAAACACAATGGTTATACACTCATCATACACAACATGTAAACCACTGGCAGGTGAAGTATATTGATTATATCATTATGATGGTAACTGTCATGGGTTGGGATATATTAGGCCAGTGAACCATCGGGTCTTGGATTTCAAACCAGTCAGAGTGGCTATGATGACTGTTGTCCACCTCTGAAAACACCTTCAATGGGGAGCAATGGAAGAAGGTTGCCTGGTCTCATGAATCACATTTTCCTTTATATCAGTATTGTAGGATAGTAGATTGTATGTGCACCGTGTACCTAGGAATGAGATGGCAGCAGGATGCCTATGGGAAGAAGGTAGGCAGACAAAGGCAGTGTTATGCTCTGGGCAATGTTCTGCTGGGGAAACTTTGGGTCCCCAGATTGTGAAGACCACATGCACACCTTCATGGTAATGGTCTTCCATAATGGCGGTAGCGTCTTTCAGCAGAAGAATGCACCCTGCAAAAATTGTTCATAAATGGTTTACGGAGCATGACAAAGAAAGATGTTTAATTGGTCTCCAAATTTCTCAGATCTCCATCCGATTGAGCATTTGTAGGATGTGCTGGAACTCCATGAAGGCCCCACCTTGCAACTTGCATGATTTAAAGGATTTGCTTCTAATGTCTTGGTGCTAGATACTACAGGACATGTTCAGCGGTCTTGTGGAGTCCATACCTTAATGCATCAAAATGGTTTTGGCAGCATGAGGGGTACCTACACTATGTTCGGCAGGTGATTTTAATGTTGTGGCTGATCAGTGTATATTAACATCAGATGCCTTGTTGTCTTACCATATTCACTCCCAATTTAATCAATTTGTTATTAGCATTTTAATTACAAATATCAGGGATAGACATTTATTACTTTAATTTGCTTTGACAAATGAAATTCAGTCCATTAACAGTCATCCATTCCATCAAATGTCCT